TTCCAACCTGGGATTCTATGATTCTTTGAAACTGTGTTAACACCTCCAATGTTTTTATCAATTTAACTGAATTTTAGTAGTCGCTAAAAGACCCTGTCTCCTCGATCAGTTTGAAGGGTTGGACAGTATTGATACTATTTCTCCTAAAAATTCAGAGTATGGAATTCAGGTGTTTGGAATTAGATTGTTTTGTAGTGTTTTTAAATAGAGGTAGTGAAACCACTATTGCTAAGATGCTGAAGTGGAACTGCAGGAGAGTAGAAAGCATAATTCTACAAATTGAAAGTTCTATAGCAAGCTGGTAAGCCTCTATGCAGGTCTCTTTTTTGCACATGAACTCTAAATTTAATGTTAAATGTATTTATTTATAGCACTACAGCAATACCTGTTTATAGGTGTAGTTTTGACACACATTTACACATATCCGCAGGATAAAAAACCAGAACTGGATGAATTTTCAACAAATAATCTTAAGGAAGTTAGAGTTTATTCTTGTTTATTTGAACACTTTGTTAAAATATCTCGAAGAGATGCAGGGATACTTGTTAACCTACCTCAAAGCTGCACTTCGAGATCTCAGTAAGTGTTTCTTTTGAATGTGCTAGTATTGAAATTGAAGTTGAAGCAAGCTCAATTTGGAACAGAGGCTTACACTGCCATCCAAAGTTGAGACTTGAATTATTTCAGTAACTGATAAAGGGATGCTCCCAACTGATAATGACATCTCCCAGGAGGTATTCATTGTAAATAACATTTTTGTCTCATTTGTGCGGAGTGATTGTGACTTAAAAGCCAGCCTTTGCACTCTGTTTGTACAGGAATTGATTCTCGCAGCTCTGTTTGTGTGGGAAATCAAAATATTAGGATAAAATATGTGGGAATATTTAAAAATACACTCTTTATAAGATATGTAAAGTTATAGCAGACATTTTCCAAATTTATTTATTTTTTAATATGTGACTTCTTGTGCCTAATGAGACGGTTTTCATCCCAAAATTTTAGGAAGTACATTAGCTGAACATAAGGAAAAACTTTTTCCCTGTGAGGGTGCCAGAGCATGGCCCAGGCTGCCCAGAGAGGTTGTGGAGTCTCCTTCTCTGCAGACATCAAAACCCGCCTGGCCGTGTTCCTGTGTGACCTGGTCTGGTGATCCTGCTCTGGCAGGGGTTGGACTGGATGAGCTTTCGAGGTCCCTTCCAACTCCTAATATTCTGTGATTTCACTGTAAAGAATGTGCAAGCTTGTAGTTTTCTGTTTTATTTATTTTTCTATAGGAAAGCTGCCAAATGAACTTCAGATGCTTGAGGAAGACCCTTCAGAGTATGAAGCACCTCAGGATGGCAACCTGGTGTATAAGCTGTTCAGTTTGAATGATCTGTTGTTACTTGTGCGTTGCAGTGTGCAAAAAGTGAGGACAGTGCCACGATACCATAAAAAGAATAAAGCGCGAAAGGTACAGATTTTGCTGTTTGCTTTTTCGTTTGTTTTGTCTTTTTAACAGTTAGGCTCAGCTGGCATCTGTGGCATTCTTTGTCCTTGTGTTTCACTCAGACAGTTAGTCCTTTCAATTGTAACTCTATGATCTGTCTCTTCTTTAAGTAAATATTTGCTGTAGGAAGAGAGGCAAGAATATGATTTCTTTAGACCTACTTGATTAGGAGATAAGCAAGTGTGATTCTGCGTTTCTTACTACAACTGCATGACAATAATACGCATGGGTAATTACCCTCATGTAAACTAATGTCAGTTTGCACTATTCATAAAAGTTAGTGCAGTAATTAGGTTTTTGGCCCAGGGCTTTGAGAATGTTCGTGATCATAAATACTTTCAAGCAGGATTCAGCCTTGCTATTATGCCTAGTTAAACAGAGAAATAGGAGACAGAATGAACAGAGGACGCATGTAAAGCTAAAAAGAAATCCTGTTAATTCTGCTTGGAAAAAAATACAGTATACATCTTAGCAGATCATTTGTCACAAGGAATGAAGTGCTTTAAATGCAAGTGTAATCCAAATATTCCATGTAACATCAGGAGAAGAAAAGCTTATTCTGGAGTTCTCAGTAATTTATTAGTTTGTAATAAGTCCTCTGAATCATTCAACAAAGTTGATTTGGTATCTCCCTTGCCAGAATACCAGAATTATGGCAGGCAGGCATTTTGTGAGGTGCTTATGCTTTGTTGAAATGGAATTAGATCTGATTACTTGTTAAGATTCCATGCTCAGAATCTTATTTTGAAGACATACCATCTCTTTGCTGTTGATCCACTGCTTATAAATGCCTGTGAATAGCTGCTTGGTTTGTTAATCAGAAACTGAGCGCTATTGTGTATTTTTTTAAATTCCTGCTAAAAGTTAAACTGTGGTTTGTCAGTGAGAATAGGCTTGTATTTTCTCTGTGAGTGTTAATGCTCAAAGGTTAGCCTTTGGTTTAAAATGAGAGTCCAAGCATTAGGTTCTAATTTCAAGTGAGATTCTGACAAGGGGAATCCATGGCAGGGTTCCAGTAATAATAAGCAAATCAGAAATGTAATAATGCATTTTTTCTTAAATTCCTGCAGAGAGCAGTAGAGCACAGAAATGTGAACTTCAAATTAATTTAGTTGTGTGGAAAAATTACTTAGCGGCAAAATTTTATTACTTGTAAAAGCTTGCCTGGGCTTTTTGTTTTCTTTTTTCTTTTTGTTTTCTTTTGGTTTTTTCCCCCTTTCACCTTCCTTTATATCGAGTCTCTGTAGTCTGATGTTTGTACTGTAGGCTTCATAGAATGTGAGTCATCACACAAAGTCTGTGAAATGTCTGTTGCTTCAGCTGGAGTGGAAGACTGTGATGATTATTAGCTACAAAATGTACTTCAGCCATGGATGTTTTTTGGACAGTAAGTGCTGGTTTTCTTGTATCTTCAATTTTAAAGGTTACTCCAATATTCCTGTTGCCAAAACTAGAATACCAAGCCTATTATGGTGTGGAAGCTCTTACAGAAAGTGAAGTGTGTCGGTTGTGGACAGAGAGTATGTTACATTCTGAATGCTTATTCTATATTGGTAAGTTCACGTGTTGATTTTTGCTTAAGAATGGATGCTTGAATATTCATAGAATAACAAGGTAAAAATATTTATTAAAGGTATATTCCGTATGTTCTTATTTATTTTAACTTTCTCATTTTGGTTTACACTTTCATCTTAAATAAGTGCTTTGTCTAAAATTTCTTTTGAGTGGTGAATGAGGATATTTCAACTTCAGTTTTAGATTAATAGCATCTGTTCATCTTTGTTTTCAAAAACTGCATTTATTTGCCTTTCAAAGACAAATGTATCTGTAAGTGTGAATTTAGTTCTCTGAAGTTAGTAGTCTTCATAACTCACAGTATTTTTGTGTTTTCGGGGGAGTGTTTTGTTTGGTGTGGTTTTCTGTTGTTTGTTTTGGTTTTTTTTTAACTGAGTCATACACAACATGAATTATCACAGGAGTGGTAAAAATATTTCTTCATGAAGTGTGAGCTATAGATACATGTTAATGTAATGTAATGTTAATATTTTTGTGAATTCATTTTAAATAAATTTGTTACTACATACCGAAACAGAAGATGACCAGAGGATGAGGTATGTGGTTCAGAGGATACTGATTCCTTGATCTTTGAGTTTGTAGTATGGAAAAAGGTCAATTGTTACTTTTCTTTTAGAGCAGGCAATAATGTTCATATTTCTACACTGATAACATGTAGACAGGTAAGATACAAGAGAATGTGGGAAAACAAGCAAGATGGGACTAAACCAACTTCTGTTGTTCAGAAATAAGAGAAATTGCATGCTTGGAAAACAGTGTACATGTGTCTCATATCTAAGGCCCTGCAAATAATTTTATGGCTTTGCAGAAATGAAATCCCTAACAGGAAGAAGAAAAATACTTAGCATAAGTTTATTGAAAACTTCTTTCCATAGCTATGATATGCCTCAGGAGTTTGGAACACTGGATGATCTTACTCAAACACATTTTCCAGGTTTTCCGTATCTAACTGTTTCATGAAATTTCATTTCCTAATAAGTGACATGACCTGAAACATCCCTGTCAAAGGGAAGCTCTTGGTAGTCCTTGTCCTATATTATTCAGCGTATGGAAACAGGAGGTAATGTAATATAATCTGTGAATGAGAAGTAACATAACATTGAGAGAAAATAAATCGGGAAACTACAAATCTTGTGTGGAAGAGGTGACAGCTGTAATTCAAAGTACAGAAATTAAAAAAAAACCACCAATAAATCAGGGTTAAAACCCATGGAAATGTTAGTTGACAGCTGTCTTGCTTGTAAAGGCCGTTCATCCAAAATCACATAAGCCAAGTATGCTAGAAATGCAGCATTGTGAGGAAAGTTTAACTAACAAATATGCTGTAGAAAATGCCGTATTCATGTTTGTACTGTGACATTTTAAATGTCAGGAAACTTTGTCTCTTAGGGTACGTATGTTCTGTAGATAAATGAAAATAATGCGGCCAGGTTTTTTTTAACATTTTTAATACATGGAGAGCTCTCTGATACCAATTATCTTGTAATCAACAAGGTTTTAAAAGGGAAAATCGGCAACAAAGGGTTAGTCAAAATGTGGTTTAGAATATGTTTGGCAGTTTCACAGTAAGTGCTTGTTCTGCAGTGGAGACTGCCTCACTTTCCTGTTGTAGGAAAAATTCTCTTACGATTGTTCTGGCAGCAGTTGTGGCCTGGAGTTGCCTGACCTTTCCACTTGTGCACTCAGTTGTACTTTTGCTGTTGGTGACTCACGTCAGGATAATATTTTAAAAATGCTGAGTTCTCTTTCTTAATTTTTATGTATAAATTTTGCATCCTATCATAGAATTGTTAGGTTTATGTGAAATCCAATGAGGTGGTAGTTTTGTTGACCGCATCTATCTTTGCTGTCCACATTTAATGAACTTATGTTTCTAATTTTAAAAGGAGTATTTTTTTGTGGTTTTTCCCTTCTCTAAAAAATTATGCACACAGTTCTCCATTTCTAATTTTAGCTTAACGCACAGTACTGAGACACTTTTCTTTTTTTTTTTTTTTTTTGGAAGCAGAAGAGCATAGTTAATTGCACTGAAATGTAGCCCCTTGTAGAAAATTTTACCAGCATTTTTATTAACGTTTTCAGACTCACAGTGTGAGGAAATAGTGAAAACCGTAGAGTGAGGGCTGATCTGCTTACAAAGTACACGAACTGGAAGAGTTGGGTCTATCTAGTCTCCCATCAGTTACGGGATACTTAAAGTATGACTTGCATGCAGAAGTTTGCAGAAGCTCATCCAGCCAACGCCCCTTTTTATAGAGGTGCTCAGGAGCATAGCAGAAAGCAGGCTGCGTGCCTCCGGAGTTGTTCTGGCATAAACAGCCAGCCAGGGAGATTCCTCAGTGTCTCTTTCATAGGTACCTGGTAGCCGTGAAAAGGGCGCAGAGCCCTTGGTTGGCAGGCTTCAGTGGCCTGGCTCCGACATGCTGTCTCTGTGTGCTTGGGATAAAAAGTCATTGAGAGAATGTTGAGAAGCACTGGTTATTAGAGTGGTGTTTGGTCAGTTCTTGAATGCTTTTCTTTCAGCAGCAAACCATAGCATCCACAAGAGTTCTTCTTACGTGTGCTCCAGGGAAGCACAGGATTACTGTGGGTTGTCGTTTTCCTGCACAGTAAATTAATACTCCCAGCGTGTGGGGCAGGCCCCCTCTCACCACTATTTAAAAAATTCAAAAAAATTTCTGCTACAGATACGAAGTCAGACTCTTCATGAGTGTCACCAACTTTTGATACTGACAGAATGTGATTTAGTCAGGTAGGCAAGTTGAGGAATGCAGATTTTTGATACTGCTATGTAGTTTCTAATAGAGGTAGGTAAAAATACATCTGTGTAAGTAAATGATACATTTTAGGAAAGAGCATCTACCACAGCTTTTAATAGGAAACTATTATCATATTCTACTTGGGGATTCTTTCTGCTCTCCTCAAGAAATATTGCAAGGTAACTGAAATTCTGCCTTTCTGTTTTTATTGCTGGGGAGCTGTGAAAAATACAATGTTGCAAGTGTCCTGATTTAGACTCTTTGCAACAGAAACCTTTGTCCTGAAGCTCCACAGGCAATTCTCCAGGAGTGATAATATTCCTGTATTACGGACAAATTAAAATGGAGTGAATATCTCATTCTTTTTCATTAATCAAATACCTAAAAGGTAAGGCTACTGCTACCATGTGTTTGGTGTAAGTAGAAGAACAGACTTGAATTCTCAGATTGTGCTATAATTTCAGTTATTTTAAGTGAAATATCATGTTCTATAATAAAGAAAATTTTAAATCTACCATAGTAGAGCCATAGGCTTATTGCTCCTTTTAAATTTACCCTGCAATATGAGTGTGAGACCATGGAACAACTGTTTGAAATCTGTGATCTCACCATTACTAACAGTAGCTACATCCTGCGTTCTTGTTCAGACAGTTCTGAGACCATAGATCTTAAGGGAAGCTGTTAAAATTGAAGCTTTGAGCATGTTGCAGACCTCAGTGTTAAATTACTTAGGAGTTCTTTATTTTGAAAGAACATAATTCACTGCCTCAACAGTCTTTTATATTTTCAAATAAGCATGGTTGGAAAGTCACAGACCTTGGTCTGTGCCTCATAAATTGTCCAGCGTTGTTCTTCAGTGTTGTATCGCTCTGTGCGGCCGAGGGAGGAATCTCATAGCTCAGCAGAGTGACTCAGCAGTGCTGCCAGCTCAGGAGATGAGAAAGAAAGCAGAAGTGTAACAGTGGCCTCCTGCAGACATTGCAAGATGTGATGTTAAGTTGAATTTTTAATTTTGTTTGTTCTCAAAGAAGGTAGTGAGTGATTGCACTAAAGCAGAGATATTATCATCAAACTTGAGAGTGCTGTTCTCCTTTTTGTAGTAGAGCACCTTGCTTGGTTCTTGATTTAAGTCCCTTTGCTACTCTGATAGTACATCCTGCATCTGCAAAGGGAGTAATGTGTGACATGTTTCCCAAATAAGGTAGTTGTACCTGATCTTAGCAGTAAATAAAGTTGTGATAAGCTTTGCTGATTAATGGAAACATTTAACCCCAACTATTATTCACTTATTTGCATTAAGTGCCTAAGCAAAACTTACCACAAAAAAGAATGGTTTACCTTCACTTGAATCAGATAATATTGGCCTTTCTTTAAAGATTATTTAAAAAATGAGTTGGATAAAAGTGCTTACTGTATGGATAACTTACTGAATGTCAAGTGTTTTCAGTCAGTCACTTCTCAGATATAAGATACAGCAATATAAATCAGGGACGAGTGGTTTGTAGATTTTTTTTTCTTTTTTTTCCACAGCTATGCTGTCAGTGCGTTTAAAAATGGAGAAGTTTCTAATTTGAGGAGAGGCTGATAAGGACTAGAGAACAGAAATTTATTTTTTGTTGCCTTTTGTTTTATTGGCTTCAAGTTTTTCCTCTAGTCAGCGATGCAGAATATGTGCTTAGTCTTGCACAAAATACTGTTATCAAGAAAAGTAAGGAATGTAAGGTGTTTAAAAAAATGAGTTGTCCTGGTGCATTTTTTGGTTTTAATTTGCTAAAAATGAAAGTCCTTACTTGTTCTTCGTACACATCACTTAACAAATTGCTAGGAAAGTTTAGCTTGGAATGTGAAGTCCTTTAGCTTAGCAGTTTTAACTGTACAATTGAAGCATGTACATTTCCTATGAGAGCAGATTTGTAGTAAGGCAGTAAATTCCACTGAGTTAGGTCGTCTTTTACTATATTGAGTTCTCATCCTCCTTGTGGGAGCTGGAATAGAACAGATTTCTGTGAAAACTGAACATGAGAGAGAACCTGAAGGTAAGGCATGATCACCACATCTGTATAAGCTATGCTAATGATTTTTATTGCTTATCAAGTGAAAATGTGGGCTAAGCTATTCTTTAAAGCCTTTATTTTAAAAATGTGATGAAGAGAGCTTTGGGTTGTTGCCCTTGGCTATGTCAGAGACAAACAGTCTTTAATGATTTGCCATGAACAAGGCCTGAATTGTAAATGGTAATTTTTCAGGTGAGGAAAAAAAAAAGAATCAAGATATGAAGGTACAGAATCCCCAGAAAATCAAGTAACACAAATGTTTGTATAGCATACCAGAATAGCAAACCAAGTACATTAAACTCAAAAGTAAATTTGTTGTAAAAGATAAACTTTTGTGCTCTGTCCAGTGAGGAAGGTTAGTGATAAGGATCAAAAGGTGATAAGGATCAAACTGCTGAGATTAAGGTTGCGGCAAGATGAGGTTGTGTATCGCAGACATCACCCAAGATGCAACACTTGCTAGAATCATGGGCATCTCCCTGATTTGGGAAGACTGCCCAAAGACAGGTGTCTGTACTTTAAGCAACTGAACATTTTACTTTCTGTTACTGTGCACTGCTGAGAAATGCTTCTCTCTGTTCTGTGCTGTAAAAGAGCAAAATTTTTTATTCATTTTGAAGTGCATTAGGTCTGCAAATTATGCTTTTATGTGTGTTTTATTTTAGTGTATTAATGGAGTTAATATTTTTCAGGACGTATTGATGCTTTTACGTCAAAGCTTATTATGCTAGAAAAGATTTCTCCAGAAGTTTTAAGAGAAAAACTTGGATTGATTAAGTGAGTATTTTTACTAGGGTTTTTTAGCAATTAATTTAAAACCATAACAAGCTTTGCAAGCTACTACTTCTGTAATTATTTTCTTTTTTCCGCAGGCCTGCAAATTCCTTAAACATACTTCATCACGTCTTGAAGAAAGTTTCCAAGTGCGTGCTCCATTCTTGTTCATTCTGTTTATTTGCAACGTTACCCAGGTCGTCCTCTTTCTTCTGTAGAACACTTGTCTACTGGTTGATTTTTATTTTTTCAGATACGTGAAATATTTTACAGATTCTTTTAGGTCTAGCATAGTGTAATACAGTATTGTGTGAAAATGTGCTTAGGATTACAGGCTTTGTATAAATGATGGAAAAGAAAAAGAATTTGATTTTTATGAACCACAAGAGAGGAGACTGGACACTTCTGAGCTGATTAAACAGTTCACAGGACTGAGTTGTGGTATTATGTATGTAGGCTGACATTTAAGATTTGGACTTCTGTTTTTTGTTAGTCTTTTTTCTTAATCTGTGGAAATAATACTGTTTGTATTCCCTTCTGCTTAGCTTGACTTACAACAGCATGTCTTTCTCTGTACGATGTTGCAACGCTTTCTCTTCCTCCTTCGTTTTCTTTCTTTATTTATCTACTTCAAGGTTTTCAGTCTGCAAGTGTCTTCTGCATTAAGAACTTAGTAGCTGTCCTGATCAAATGAAACAAAACTGGAATAAGTAATATTTTTCATTTTGAACTTTTATCTTTTTAGTTTGCAGGAAGGTTCTTATTTATTGACCCATGCTGCAGGAGATTCATCAGTTGCCATTTACAGGAGTTCTCTTGACAAGACGAGAGCATCATATAACTTACATAAAGCTCATTGTGATCTGCCTACTGTACCTGCCACTCTTTCAGTCCCATGGGTGCCACTAGATCCCAGCCTTCCTTTGCCCTATCACATGAGTTGTGGAAGAGTTCCATGCACCTTTCCACCTGCACCCCAGGAAGCCGTGTGGAAACAGAAGGTCAGTGTCATGCTTGATGGGAAAGCAGATTAGCTCTTCTCAAATAATCTATGTCAGTCCCTTGGATACGTAGTTAGTGCTTTTATCTGTCATCACTGGGGACAGGAATGC